TCCTATTTTCATTTAGGTCGATTTTTTTTTGTTTTTTTTATACCAAATTCGGAAATAATTGCCTTCTGCGCCAGCTATCGACTCGAGAAAAAAACACATATACTCCAATCATTTCTCGAAATTATGCTGCTGAGAAAAAAAATGGCCCGCAGGTTGACAAAAAGTTATTCGTCCTTTTGTGGCCGCGCGCGGTGTCAGCTCACGCTCCGAACCGTGTACGCTGTACGCGCTTGTGACGCGACGTCTTACGGTGGTCTGGAACCTGCGGGCCATTTTTTTTCTCAGCAGCATAATTTCGAAAAATGATTGGAGTATATGTGTTTTTTTTTTCGAGTCGATAGCTGGCGCAGAAGCCAATTATTTCCGAATTTGTTATAAAAAAAACAAAAAAAAATCGACCTAAATGAAAATTTTACAATTGAAAAAAATAACAAAAAATCTATGTCAAAACAAGATTCCAACGCTAGTTAAATCGTTGGAATCGGATAATTAGTTTAGCCATAATGATTTTTTTTTATTTTTTAATTACTAAAAACTTTTACTTTTAATATCATAAATATGTCAATTGAAAATTTTTTTTTTACAAAATCCTTTAGGATTTGTGTTAGTGATGTAAAATACTATCGAAAAAATGTATCTACAATCAAAAACTAATTTTGACCTAATTCAGGTGGCCCGTTTGAGAAATTCTGACATGTTTGTTTTAGCAATGTATGTGGTAGTCCATATATGAACCACAAACATTGCTAAAACAAACATATATTTCTTTCAGTGTGAGATAAAGTAATGTTGTTTTTCTTGTCGAACATAGCATATTACTTGAAATGAAATATAAAACTCTGTAGATAACAGTTTAAAAATAAAATATGCATGCATATAACTACCTTTTTGGCAGAGACGGATACAGGTCCTATGTTATTTTTTTGCTACATTTTAAATAAAAAGACACGAAATCTCGTTTGAAATTTCTTTATTTATTTTTAATTTCATCAATACAGTATTGACAATACTCTAACTGTAATGATTGTTATGGTTTCATTACACTAGTTTACAAAATCGAAAAAAAATTCTGCCCACCATATCCCATTATAATTTTCAAGTCAATCGTTCAATAGGTTTTTTTTCAATTTTCGGAGGTGTTTTGACGTTTTTGAGTATAGCTTGGAATCTAATTGATCGATTTGGTCAAACAAGCCCTTAAATTGAAGGTATTTGAGCCCTCTAAAATTTTCTTACAGACTTTTGATATCGGATAAGTATTAAAAAAAAACAAGCTAATGTTGATAAGTACATGAAAAAATGGCGAAATTATAAATTTTTTAGTGGAAGATCAAAATTCAGCTTTTTGACGATTTTTATTTTATTTTCTTTATTTTATTTTGTAATACGTTTATTCTTTAATGAAAACCTAAATAAAATGCATGGTTGGAATTTTTTGAGTTTTTTACGTTCTTTTTTCACCGAAAACATTATTCAAAATTTAAATTTGACATGACTCCGCAAACGTGAATTCTTTTGTTTCTCGTGTTGGCATAGTGACATTTTACTGATATTTTTTGATATTTCAACTAGGTATTTTTATCATGGTTTTATTTAGTTAATATAAGTGTAAAATGAGTAAAAGAAGTAGAGAGTTCGAGTGCGTAAATAACCCGCACAATCTGGGCGACGTAAGTGATGAGCACGGAGAACGTTTTCACCAGCAAATGAAGGTTATGGAGCGGCGGTATCACGGCTTCTGGGATGCAGCCATGATGGGTGATAACATTTGGTCCCTCTTACGAGAAACGGAATACGAAAGCAACAAAAAACAAAGAAGGAGCCAGAATTTAAACCTATGCTTATTACAACAAAATAAAACTTTCAATTTCTTCAATGTCCAATATTTATTGTTTAATATTCAATATATAATTTAATTTCAATATTTAATATTTAAAATAAAAGATTTTTCTTATTTTTCTAGATTTTTTTAATTTAAATTTATTTTGATCAATTTTAACGAAATTTAATGATGATGCGAATCTGAAGATGGCAAAACTCACAAAACTTTTTTATTATTTATAAAAACTCCTGATTATTGAAAAATTAAATTGCCATAAAAAATTTTATTGCAAGTCTAAATACGAAATAATTTTTTTATTTTAACATTAACCTAAATTTATTTTTGTTCAATTTGCCAACCTTGCGACGTTTCTGGAATCATTTTGTCACCATTGCATTTAAGATGTGAAGAAAACATAAAATTGCTTCATGAGAAAAGTATTTATTATTTTTTCTAGCCACACCTTTAAACTTTAGCAAGAGGTTTTTAGTGACGGGCTAAAGTTAGTTTTAAGATAGTTGACATTTTTTAAATGTCATATAATCGTTAAAATAAAGTGCCTTTCTTGTAAAATAATACTAAATGTAAAAAATATTTTATTATTTCAATATGAAAATACAAGTTTTAAATAGTTTTTCAACGCCAATATTTGAAAAGTTTATATGAACAAGTTGAGATAACCCAATTTAAAAATTGTTTATAATAGCCATTCAGATTGTATTTTTCTAATTTAAAATTGAGAAAATCTAATTTAAAAGTTTTTTCAACCTGTTTTTTTTGTCCGTACGATGTGAGAGGCAGTTTGAAACAGGCATGGAGTTTTTTAATAAAAAGTTTTTGGTTGATTTAAGTGGGATACGAACTAGGGAAAAATAAATAAAAAGGAATTGTTATGCTGGTATTTCTGTAATTTACTAAATTTATATTACGTTTGGGTGAATATATTGAGATGTACCCCAAGTGAAAGTGATTATTTTTTATTTATGGTTGTTTCACTGTTAGTCTAGAATAACTGAGACTTCACGGTGAATAGGTTTTTAAATAGCAAATTAATAAACTTACACTTTTGAATTATAAAACAGCAACACTCTCATCTGCATATAAATTCTAACTGACCTTCAGGAATCACATGCAACTATAATGTCGTAAACAGAGGTTTTTGCTTATTTAAAATGATTAAAGCCCCATCCGTTGCATAAAATTTAAAGCAAAAACAGATTCACGGAGGATAGAATCAATTTTTGTAACACCTACATAAATGGTTATACAAATTATTTCTTTTAATTTTTAATAATATTTTATATTTGATTCGATTGCTTTGGATGTGTTTAATTTACTTAGTGAACCGATATTTTTAGTATCCTTTTACTACCTCAGATATTTGAAAACATATAGGTTTACCTAGAAAGAGTAATAGTCACGGAGGATAGGTTTTAGACTTTTAAAACATTGTAAAAAATAATTAATTGCGGTTAAAAATCTGGAACCTGAGCTGTAATATCTACTTAATTATGAAAGATGAAAACACAATAAAAGTGTACGTCAAACTCATTTAGTTTTATTAAATATCATCGGGGGACCCGGTTGAACAGGAAGCGGCAGTGGGTTTGTTTTTTTCAAATGGAACTCTATAAATATTATTGAATTTTTAAATTTTACGTAAAATTCTGGAGCTATTGCATTTTAAATTGTTTTTCTAGCTTAATTTGTTTTTGAGATATTTATTTTTTTTTTAATTTGACAGATAGCTAACTAACCAAAATGTATGTATAGCCAACAATACAATTATTGGTAATATTATCGCACGCCGTTTGAGGTTTGAAAATTGTGTGTCTTATTGAGACAAAAACCTACGATTTGTCAAAGTGATAATTTTTATTTACAGAATAAACTTTTTTTCTGTTAATAAAATTTTCATTTACTATAATGAAGCAGCAATGTTGAGCTTTTATAAAAAAAATCTTCATCCAACAAAGTAATAATAGTTGTTATCAAATTATCATGGCAATAAGAAATACTTTATGTTTATATTAAATCTTGGTCGAACTTAAAATGTTTTTGTTAAATCTATAGTTGTGTGCGAATTGCGCTTACATAAAGTAATGCGCAGTTGTTATAGTAAAATTTGTTCATTTTACTATGGCATATTTGTCTTTTTTAAATTACTATCGTTGTTATTCAAATTAATTTTATTTCAGTTAGAAAATCTTTGTTTATAGCTTACGTTAAGAACAATAACAAAAATATTTTATTGCTATAAAAAGACTTTTTTAATATTTACTATTGCTTTGCAATGGTAACAAAATTGTTGTTATTTCCCTTGAAAAGAGGGGGAAAGGGCCAGCGCTGTCCTTGGTGAACATAACTTTATAATCCACAGTCTGTGTCATAATCTTATTGATGTCACTTGTGCGAGTAAAGTGTGGTAAAATCTAGTATGATAAAAATATCAAAAAGATCACTAAGAAAATTAAAATTTCGACGTTTTCTAAAAGAAATATTTAAGGTATATTCTATAAACGAAACAGGCTTGTTGTTTAAAAAGTGAGTTCATATTTTTTTATTTTGTACATCATATAATATGAGTTAATTTTTTGTTGTAATAAATAATTTGTTTTAATGCCTTGCAGTAGATTGAAAATGTGACCAATGTTACAATGAAAATAGTTTATTGAATTAACAATTAATTTGTTGTAAAATTTACAAAATTTGTATGAATAATACCAAACTATATTTATCAATGCGTTTCTGCATCTGGAAGAGTGTTATTTTTATAAACATAACGTAAATTTACTTTATAATTTATGCAAATACTATTACTGAAAGCAGCGTTTGTAGATAAATAATTTTTATAAAAAATGCACTTGTGCCTCTACGATCTGAAATCTAGGTTATTTAATTTATTTGAAAACTGTGCCTCATCTTCTGTTCCATTTTGTGGATTAAATAAATAAAAGTGGTTTGTCAATAATCTACACCACTTGTATATTTATGACTGCGGATAAATAAGGCAAAATCTAAAATCGATTAATTTTCTTCAGGAAAATGTTTTCAACCTATAAATGACTTCGGATTAATTATTTTTCGGCGTCTCAATGCGATTACGCTCTAATAATCCCAATAATAATTTTTTTGTACTTAATTGAGTTTTTTATTTTCTTAATTGGATTTTTTTTACCTGTAAGGGAGTATTCGGTTCTGGTATGTATTCGTCTGATGGTTCTGGGGGGGGATACAACTGTGCTAAACACATGATTGCCTCGTTGCAGAATTTTAAACCCATTACTTCTTCATCTTCCCTGCCATATCTGAAACAAAAAACAAACATAAATTGTTAAATATTTTTTAAAGATAAATTGCTGTTTTAGATAATTTTATTTATTTCGTTTTTGTAAATATCATATAATTCATATATTTCTTTCTCGGATTCCTCATCCCTTTTCTAGATTCTGAAGGTAACTACTAATTCCTTGGTCTGACTTCTGAAATAGTTTGTTGCAAATATCATTAAGTGCGGTATCTCTAGTTTGTAAACCATTTATAATGTTTAGGCCGCAACAGGATGATTTATAAATATCTAATATTTTTTCGGGTGGTATGTTAAAAGTATTTTCTGAATTTATTAATTTTCTTGCCATTAGTTTTATATGTTCTCTATCATGCACTGTATTTAAATCACTGTTATTCTGCAAGATGTGACTGTGACGAAGAAATCACTATATTACTTACTCTCTAAAAATTACGTTTTTTTTCAGAAAAATGTGTTTAGCTAGCTTTATATATCTCCACAGTGTTACCAATATAGAGTAATTATTATTTGTGGTATTCCATTGATTTTAAAATTTTATATATAACATAATATGACATATTGTGTTATATACAAAATTTACCAAAGAAATACGCACAAATAATATTTATGAAATATTTTTGACAGTTCTGACACTTCTCCACCAAACATGAAAGCCATCTAAATTTTAAATTATAAATAAAACTAACAATATCGCTACTAAACGGGCATTAAAAAAATTAATATATCTTTTAAAGGAATAAAAATAACAAAACAAGACTAACTGGACTGAAAAGATGAAGGTGGGGACTACATTTCCTGAAAGTTTCAGATTTTTATTTTTTCCTCAACATAATGATTTCTGAGGGCAAAATTGGCTAATTTTGAGAATTATCAATTTTCAATAATTTTTTTAATAAAGAAATTGATAGTCTAGAAACTTAAAATAATAGTTAAGTTTTCTATTGTATAAGTACTTTATACCTGAAAAAAATTAACCTTCTAAATTCAGTAGAATAGGCACAGGAGCCAGACAAAAATCACAAAAATTGGCAAATTATCATGAATCTTTAGTGGTTTACCATTCTTTTATGAGATTAACTAATTGGATAATAATAATTTATATCGAAAACACACTTACTGGACAGTAAAACAAAATTAAAATTATTTCAATATTTGTTGCAGAAAAAAAGTTCTGGCCCACTATAAGAGAGTAAGAAATTGACACTATTTCAGACTTCTAAGGGGTGCCAAATAAAAGTAAAGCAAAAAAAAAATAAAACGGCAACGGATTTTCATATTTGACACCTAAAAGATCATCCTCAATTTTTTTCATTACAATAAAAAATCATGCAGCGCACTTTTAAATTCATTTTTGGTGTTTTCATTTGGATTGACTCTATATACAATTATAACTATCTCAGTCGGTAATAATATAGAACTACTTTACTTCGGTTCCAATATAGGACAAAAAAGTTCGCACGTTACTTTGGTGGTAAGATTTTTGTTTTTTTAATAAGAGCAGGGCTGTGTTTAAATTACAATAAAAATATTTCTAAAAAGTGTACAGATCAGTGTGTGGTATAAATGTGATCCTCATGATTTAAACATTGTCACTTTAATGCGTTTTAATTTTAATTGTGAAAACAAACAGTAAAATGGCCAGTGTCCAATTACTGGTTAGTTAAAAATGTAAATTTCTATTATTGGACATATGTCCAATGTCATACTCTATTTGTATCCCGGACACTTACCAGCCAATTCTTATGTAAAATTGTCCCCTGAATCCGAAAAGATCGTCAAAAACTATAATAGTTAAGCAGTTTTTGAGATATAGTCAATTTCATATTATATGTAAAATTGATTATATTTCAAAAACTGTTCTAATTTTATAACTTTTGACGACATTTTCGGATTCAGCGAATAATATTTCATAGGAATTGACTGCTAAATATCCTGGATACAAATTGCTGTAGACGAGAATTATTAGTGGCTGCTTTTTCACTATGACATTTTTGACCAATTTATTTTTAGAGAGTAAGAAATATAGTGATTTCTTCGTCACAGGACATTTTGCAGAATAACAGTGATTTAAATACAGTGCATGATAGAGAACATAAAAAAACTAAAAATTCGGAAAATACTTTTAACATACCACCCGAAAAAATATTAGATATATATAAATCATCCTGTTCCGGCCTAAACATCATAAATGCTTTACAAATTAGAGATACCACACTTAATGATATTTGCAACAAACTATTTCAGAAGTCAGACCAAGGAATTAGTAGTTACCTTCAGAATCCAGAAAAAGGATGAGGATTCCGAGAAAGAAATATATGAATTATGGTGATATTTACAAAAACGAAATAAAAAAAATTACCTAAAACAGCAATTAATCTTTAAAAAATATTTAACAATTTATGTTATTTGATGTAAAGTTGTTGTTGTTTATATAAAAATTGTATGTCCAATAACTATGGTCCATGTGTCCAGTTACTATATAAAATGTCCAATTACTATACTTTTTTGCATGTTTTTATAAAACTATTATTAAAAATTTAAATATTCTTATTTTTAAGTAAACGTAAATAAAGTTTTAACAAACAAACTATCCTTTTTATATATTTATAAGAAAAAAACTAAAATCTTTAAAACAACGGCATATATAAACTTTATATAAATAATATTCCTTAAGTGTTCAATAACTATATGGTTTACCGTAGTTAAAATGTTTAAAACATAAAAGTTAAAATTAAAATGGAAAAAGTTTTGTCGAAATAAATGTCCACTCAAAAAGTACGTCCACCTCGATGAATTATTTTATTTATTCAGTGTAAGCATGGCTTCACAACCAGTTAGTTAGCACACTCTAGTGACTCCACTTAAAAGGGATTATTTTAAGCACACTTCTATGAAGGATTTAGCGAATTATCATTTTCAAGTTATCCAAAAGTAGGTATCGTTAAAGTACATATAAAATTCCTATAAAAAATAATTGCTTATCCACTGCAAGTAATTTTGACATTTTAATTATGGTTTCGCGTAAAAATCGTGATGCCAGAATTGAAAATATTTTTTAACCTTGTTTTTACATCTTAATGGTACATTTTTTCAATTAAAATCTAAAAATAGATAAATTTTGATATTTTGTAATAACATTTTTATTTAAAAACGTATCGATTTGAAATTAAGTTAAAATGTAGACCTTATTAGTGGCAATAAATCCACGTATTATTTTTTTTAGATTTTAACACACAGGGGGCGCTGAGGACAATTTAATTAAGAATTTTATCATTTTTTAAGGGTTAAAAAGTCGAAGAAGCAACGTTGTTTTATAATTTTGGGTATATCACGTTAAAGTACTGATAATTAAGTATTATATGATATATAAACTTCTACATGAAAATTATGTTTCTACGAGAGACACCATTTTTAAGTTAGGCCTTCAAAGGGCATAATACTAATGTTTTTGTTATTATGCTGACATGTGGTTGAAATTTTTGGAATATTAAAACATTGTTTAAATAATTTAATTTTTTAAAGGTTTTTTAACAAATAGCTTTAGAAAAACCACTTGAAATAAGGCAAACTTCAAACAATAATAACGTTTTTATTATAAATGTAAAACCTTGTATGTTTTAACATGATCAAATAGAACATTAAAGAATCTTTAGATTTCCTAAAGTTAAAATATCAGAGACATTTAACAATTTCTAAATATTTTGTATCAAAAAACTGAGACATTCTACATGTGGTTTAATATGACAGTATCCATGGTTACCACCAAATCTTATTGTTTAAAATTAATTAAAATATTTAGAAAAATAGACTTCATTGTCTATACTATACAAAAATTCAAATCGATATCTTTTGCCGTTCCCCATGGGAAACGGCAGAAACTTTTAATGAACCAAGAACGTGAAACACCCTGTATACTTCTAACTACAAAACTTTATGCATGACAACTTTTAGTTGAATTATAAAAAACACATACCATACTTAATATCTGATTTTAATTTTAAAAGTTATAAGGTCCACTTAGATTTTTCAATGTAGATCAAATTCTATCGAAGCTTTAAATTTTTATTGACAAACTTTACGTATACTTCATACTTAAATTTAAATTTTAAAGGTAGTTGAAGTGTGGGAAACATATACTAAATTAATAACCAATTTTTGTAACATTGGAAAAAATATTTCAAAAATTTTAACATTGTAAGTGACATTTACATAAATTCCAATATTCCATTTAAATCCTAAATGGTAGGCAGTGGACTGTATAACTGTGAGAAATAGGGGATGGTGGTGTTAGTTGACTGAATTATGTTACAAGATAAAACGTGGGCAGTAAGAATATTAATAAGGTCCTACCTTGTGGCTGGTGCTGATGACGACACTCAGGGCCCTGGTCTGGTTTCTGGCTGTCAGCGTTGGTTTCAAGCGGTTGAGATGCACAAGCGGGATAAAGCGGGATTAAGCGGGATAAAGCGGGTATAATGTCGCGTGGTAGATCACTCTTGCGCGCGGGGATGCTCGCCGTTCGAACTCTTATTAATTAATGCACTTACGCCCTCACGCGGTTAAATGGGTAATTAAAAATAGTTGCAATAAACATGCGCGTTGGGGGGCAATAAGCTAAATATAATATTTAAATAAATGTAATCAAATTAAACAAATATTAAACATTTCGCGAAGACGAAACAAATATTTTTATACAGTTAGATAAACAGTCCTTATTTTAATATATGGGTGATTCTACAAAAGTTGGACAACTTGATGTCATCAGTCAATAGAGTAGGTATTTTAATATTTTTTATAAATATTTTAGTATTTTACAAAAGATTTTTTAACTTGTCCACCCAATTTTAATATATTTTTTTAAAAGCACGTTTGTAGAAAAACATAATAAATATTCAAAACATCAGTTCCTTGGCGTGTCACAACTCCTGAATCAAATATTTGAGTGATTTTATTTTAAAATATATTCAATTTATCTTAAATTTTTCACTTTCACTACAAACTGTGAAACATCAAATAATGTATTTTTCATATTTTATCATAGATTCGAAAAATAGCAATTTTTAAAAAATTGATAATCTTTGTACTCACTTTTACCCGTCAGTTCTGTGTCCAATGTTAAAAGTTTAAATTTCAAGTCCTCGTTTTAACTCAAGTGTTGGTAAAAAATTACCTACAGAGCCCGCCCTTTGCACGACAGTCATCTTGAAAACAATGCAAGCGGCGAAGTTGTGGTGAATGCACGTATAGTTCCAGTCAAAATGTCAGTACTGTGGTGAGTAGTTATTTTCTTACGTATTTATATTTCATTGTAATTTATATAAGGCTATATGTGATTTGTTGATAAGTAGCATCCACTAATAAAAAATATCAGTAAAATACTTAATTCCGAATAATAATCTCAAATTTGTATCCCATTCATCAGTACCGTGTCGTCAGTTCCATGTTCGATGCTTCGGTTATCTTTTTTTTGCAAACTTCAATTTAAATTCTGCTTGCGCAGAATTTGTTTATTTAATGTCATTATAAACTCATAAATTTAGTGTGGGTCCCATATCTAATAATTGAGATATCGGTATACCCAAAATCCACCAGCCGCCATTCATGTGTGGGATTATTTGATTTTAAGATATTTAATGTATAATATGCTCATAATTGCAATAAATTTTATATTTTCCAATAAATTATGTATTTAATTAGTACCCTGGTATACTCGTCACTTCCCTTGCATTCAAATTTAGAAAACATAGATATTTCAGAAACTGTTTGAAAAAGTGACTGGCCCGGTCTGGAACAGTATATTTGTTATATTATCTATGTTCTCATAACAAAATACTGTTTAATTTTCTCCGAAAACTATATAAACAAAATGAGGTCAAAAGTTGCCCAACTTTTGTAGAATTACCCATATACATGTATTTTTTTAACTTAAAAATATTAAATTAAAATCAAACTGATCATAATTAAACAAGAAACCAGAAATTACAATGTTTTTCCTAATACAATAGCGTTAAAAAAAATTGTAAGAATAACATTATTACGTATATTCAAGCTTTATATATATAGTATACTGGCGCAGATAAAATACAATTTCTTTGGTACGAAATAAATTAAGTTATCCTTAGAGAAAAGATCCAGAAATAACTTTAATAATATGGTGTTGATATAACCTTTAAAAGCGTAAAAAGAACTGAAGCATACGTTAAGCCTAATAGGACCTTAGTGCTCAGTTTATGCTGGTAAGCTTTACGCCTTGTGTTTAATAATTTTCGTATAAAGTTCGCATTTGAAAGGCTACTCGAAAATATTTTAATATTTTAATAAAAGTAGCGCTACACAAAATAAAACAAAACAAACAAGACTGTTTTATGCCTTTTATTTTTATTAAATTACAAGCAACGTTTTTGTTATACAAAATAAACTAATATAAAATTTTAACGTTGTTTAAATTCCCAGAAATTTTTTTGTCTTCATCATAGTCATCCCAATACAATACAATTGTAAAGTAGTTAACATTAACATTAATACTGTAAAAACAAGAGTTCTATAAATAGTTACCTTAAAGTCAAATCATTAGATGGTGCTGTATACAATTATAACTATCTCAGTCGGTAATAATGTAGAACTACTTTATTTTGAGTCCAATATAGGACAAAAAAGTTCGCACGTTACTTTGGTGGTGAGATTTTTGTTTTTTTGTTAAGAGCAGGGCTGTGTTTAAATTACAATAAAAAATATTTCTAAAAAGTGTACACATCAGTATGTGGTATAAATGGGTTCCTCATGGTTTAAACATTGTCACTTTAATGCATATTAATTTTAATTCTGAAAACAAACAGTAAAATGGCCATTCTTATGTAAAATTGTCCCCTGACGAAAAGACCGTCAAAAACTATAAAAATTAAGCAGTTTTTGAGATATAGTCAATTCCATATTATATGTAAAATTAATTATATTTCAAAAACTGTTTTACTTTTATAACTCTATAACGACATTTTCGGATTCGTCGAATAATATTTCATAGGAATTGACTGCTAAATGTCCTGGATACAAATTGCTGTTGACGAGAATTATTAGTGGCTGCTTTTTCGCTATGACATTTTTGACTAATTCATTTTTAGAGAGTAACTAATATAGTGATTTTCAGAATAACAGTGATTGATAGAGAACATAAAAAAGTAATGGCAACAAAATTAATAAATTCTGAAAATACTTTTAACATACCTCCCGAAAAAATGTTAGATATATATAAATCCTGTTCGGGCCTAAACATTATAATTGCTTTACAAAGTAGAGATACCGCACTTAATGATATTTGCAACAAACTATTTCAGAAGTCAGACCAAGGAATTAGTAGTTACCTTCAGAATCCAGAAAAGGGATGAGGAATCCGAGAAATAAATATATGAATTATATGAAATTTACAAAAACGAAATAAAAAAATTACCTAAAACATCAATTTATGTTATTTGATGTAAAGTTGTTATGTTTACATAAAAAGTGTCCAATTACCATATAAAATGTCCCATTACTATACTTTTTTGCATGTTTTTATAAAAGTATTATTAAAAATTCAGATATTCTTATTTTTAAGTAAACGTAATATGTATATAAACTTTATTTTACAGTTAACTAAATTTATAAGCAATTAATAAAATTTAACCAACCAATAAATTATATTCATTTAACTGAAATACCTAAATTGAATAAAGCAAAATATCAAATATTTCATGGTGGTTAAATTTAAGCATTGTTCAAACAATGAGTTTGAAATATTCAATTTTAATACTGTTTAGTCCTTAATTTTAGTAAATTGCGAATTTAAAGTATAAACACGGTGGTCAAAACTTAAGTATAGGACGAACAAAAATGCCAACCAAAACTGATAGCATATTTTGATTATAGACCCTTTTGGTAACACTAACATGTATTTATCAAAATCCCAGCTGATCCTATTTTAAAGTTTTGCAAACTTTTTTGTTTTTCTATTTCAATATATTATTTTACAATTATTGTACTAAAACTACCTGTGCAATTTTAATAAAATTAAGCAAAATAATAAACTTTGTATCATATAAATTACTTTACTCCCCAGTATTAATTTATTGAGTCACATATTATTTTTTACCACTCAAAACAAAACATAATAAAAAAAACGAAGATTTATATCTTAAATATTTTTTATAACAAAAAATACTGTAAGTTTGTCTATGAAATAATTACAACTTGCAAATTTTGTAAAACAATAATTAAGGTGGTTATGAAAAAAATTGCTATACGTTATAACGCAAGTGACATTTTGCTTTAGTTGTTTATTTAATGTATACTTTATAAAGTTAAAAATAGTATTTTAAAATGAAAATTAAACCGAAATTCAAGTTAAGCCATGAAGAAAATCGAAAGAAGGTATGTGCTGGCTGTGGAGACAAAATTGTTTTTGGTAATCGAAAAATTCAAAGTTTAGGGTTTCTGAGAAAATATAAAAATTACTGCAGACTTTTTCAAACGAACACTTTAACTTAAGTGATTCAAAATTACCTACTTCAATATGGTAAAAACGGTATTTTTGCATAGCCACAATTGCCAAATTTTCAAAATTTAGAAATTGCTAGATAATTTCGCGGCAGCCAAGAATGTATGTGCTTTATCTGCAAATTGGCAAGATATAAAGGGCATAAAAAATTATTAAGGGAAGAGGACGGACGAACGAACTAAAGTTTTGATATGCTCTTCCTTTCTAGGGGATATCGCTAGATGTAAGAAGCATGTTTGTACAGAGAATAAAGAATTTAAAAATACTGTTTCCATGTTAAAAACAATTCCATGTAAAACCCAAGAAAAAGTTTTACTGAAAATTTAAGGCAAGCAGTAATCGATTTTGCTTCAAAGAATCTTTAGTTATTTATTAGTTTTGTATTAGATACCTTAAAACAATAAATAAGATATTGCAAACTGTATTTTACATTATTTTGTATTTATAATGTAATTTATCCATATTTCAGTCATGTATCTGCCAAATTTTTAAAAACATTTGATAATGGTACTAGAGTATTTTATCGAAATGGCATAAACAATTTTAAAATACTAAGAAATATGCAAATACATTTTTGTGTTACCAAAAGAGTCTATAATAAGAATATGCTATCAGTTTTGGTTGGCATTTTTGTTCGTCCTATACTTTAGTTTTTTTTTATCCTATACAAAATATAACAAAATCCTTCATCCATAATATGATACTATAGTATATATTGAAAATGCGCTCGAAAACGAATAAAGAATAAATAAACCTTTTTCCTCATAAAACTTACCGAAAAGTAAGCGTAACTTGGCCATAGACTTTCTTGTTTTCCAGGAATTCGGGGTCAACGAGTAAAACTCCCTGTAATCTATCGATCCGTCCCTGTGAAACCACCAAATCTCGAGAGCTTAGGTACAGGGTGAGTTTGTTGTTGGGAGATGACTTTTTGAAAACTCTGAAAATGAATAGAAACGCTTAAATTATAATTATATATACCTAGTTAAACTTATTTATAACCTAGTTATATAATAATATTGAGTTTTATTTTAATGAAAAAATTTGAGGATAATCTTTTAGGTATCACATATGAAAAACCGTTGCCGTTTTAATTTTTAGTTGCTTTATTTTTAATCGGCACCCTTTACAAACCTGAAATCGTGTCATTTTCTTACTCTCTTACAAGAGGCTAAAACTTTTTTTCTGTGGCAATTATTGAAATCATTGTAATTTTATTTTACTCCCTAGTAAGTATGTTTTCAATATTAATTATTATTATCTAATTAGTTCATCTCATAAAAGAATGGTAAACCACTAAAGATTTGTAATAATTTGCCAATTTTTGTGATTTTTGTCTGGCTGCTGTGCCTATTCTGCTAAATCTAGAAAGTTGCTTTTTTCAGTTATCAAGTACTTATACAATAGAAAACGTAACTATTATTTTAAGTTTCTAGAATATCATTTTCTTTATTAAAAAAACTTTTGAAACTTGATAATTTTCAAAATTAGCCAATTTTGCCCTCAGAAATCATTATGTTGAGGAAAAAATAAAAATCTAAAACTTTCAGGAAATGTAGTCCCCACCTTCATCTTTTCAGTCTAGTTAGTCTTGTTTTGTTATTTTTATCCATGTAAAAGATATAATAATTTTTTTAATGCAGTTAAGAAGCGATATTGTTAGTTTTATTTATAATTTAAAATTTAGATGGCTTTGACTTAGTCAATTCATGTTTGGTAGAGAAATGTTAGAACTGTCAAAAATATTTCATAAATATTATAAGTGCGTATTTAAATTGTGATTTCAAAAGGTTTGCAAGTTTGCAAGTGTAATAAATGACGGAGTGTTCGAGATTCATGAATTTAATTGCAATTAAAAATGCAAGAACATATCATAATTTTGTACCTCTTTCTCATAGAATATATTCAAGTTCTGAGAAGTTTTAAATTGTTAAAAATAAGCAAAAACCAAAAAATATTCTAAATAAACCCCTTTATTATAACATGTTTTATTTTAACACAAACATTTAAAATACATACATATAACTATTCAGTGCCTTACTAAATGGATTAAAATAATAGACTAACTTGGTTTAAATTGTGAAAGAAACCGACAAAAAACTGCATTTTTTATACGTTTAAAGTAACTCTTTATTAATTTCACTTTTTATACTTTACGATATAAACCATAAGGATCTTGAATATATTTTTTACATTTTTCTTCTTTAGACACCAATTAGCCAATTAAATACTTCATTATTATGTATATAATATATACAAAACATAAAATATAACATCGTCACCCTAATATAACAAGGTTGTATGTTAAAAAACCGAAAAATTTGAGTTTATGCTTCTACAAGGTTTTATGTAATCTACCCTTGACATACAACTTGAAAATAACTCTATATATATGTATACATAGAATATACATTCTATAGAATTATTTTTAAGTGGTATGTGAAGCGTAGGCCACGTATAATCCTGTAGAAACATAGACTTAAATTTTTCGTTTTTTTTAACATACAACCTTGTTATATTATAATTAGTTATATCGTCACCCTATAGGGTGACGACATAACTACCAAATCATAGAAAAACCAAATATATCAGAACTGTCAAAAATAATTCATAATAATTATGAATAATAATTATTTATAATAATTATGAATTATTATTATTTGTGGTATTCCTTTGGTGATTTTAAAAAGTTTTATTTAGATAATAAAAAGCGAAAATGAGTAAAAGAAGTAGAGAGTTCAAGTGCGTAAATAACCCGCACAATCTGGGCGACGTAAGTGATGAGCACGGAGAACGTTTTCACCAGCAAATGAAGGCTATGGAGCGGCGGTATCACGGCTTCTGGGATGCAGCCATGATGGGTGATTACATTTGGTCCCTCATACGAGAAACGTAATACGAAAGCAACAAAAAACAAAGAAGGAGCCAGAATTTTTTTAAACCTATGCTTATTACAACAAAATAAAACTTTCAATATCTTCAATGTTCAATATTCAATAATATTGTATAACTTAATTTCAATTTTTAATGTTTAAAATAAAAATCAATGTTCAATATTAAATTTTATATAATTCAATAAAATGAAAAAAAAACACGTACAAATTCTCGAAAAACTGAATTTTGGTCTTCCACTGAAAAATTCATAACTTCACCATGGATTTTTATCAACCGCATTTTTTTTATATTTCCAAGCAACAAGCTTAGTAAAAATAATATTTATAACCACACTTTTTCCTTCAACTTTAACAATTTAACATTTTTGGTGAACCCTGTACGTACAATGTAAATATTCAAGTTCATTAATTAGGATGTAATCCATCGTGTCAACTGTGGTTAACTACGTGTAGTATACGAGAACATCTGCTCCTAGGTTGACAGAAACTATCTTCTCAAAATACACAAACCATTTTAATACACTAGGGGCCACTATATTCACCTTCCACCAAATTTATAAATACCCAATGCTTAATTATCATACTTAAAATTATGTCAACAATTGAAACTTTGACAGTTATTTATTTAGTAAATTTAAAGGGAGGTAAATACACTGACCCTAAGAGAAATTTGTTATTTGTTTAATTTTTACTACCATTTATAGATAATTCTTTTTTTTTTAATCGTAGGTATATTAAAAAACGATGTTATAAAACGTGTTTTTGGGCATTTTAGTCACGGGCTGAAGTTAGCTTTATTATAAATTGCGAAAAAGTGAGGTTAAATTCGTCATATCGGCCATTCCAAGCCCATGGACAGGACACATCAGAAACATGTCTAAATATATTCTTGTTACTTCCTTAAGTTTACTTATTTTTTCTACGAGTATTTATGAGAAGTATTAGCCAAATTTGGCTAATACTTCTCATAAATACTCGTAGAAAAAATAAGTAAACTTAAGGAAGTAACAAGAATATATTTAGACATGTTTCTGATGTGTCCTGTCCATGGGCTTGGAATGGCCGATATGTCAAATATTTTTGAATTAAAATTGGCTTTAAATTCTCGTTTATAAACTTTTTTAGATACTCATTTACTTACACACTCGCTCGCTAGCTCGCTCGTTCCCAATTAAAAGTAATAATAATAATAATAATAATACACTCAGACATTTTTTTAATAAATATAACAAATAAGTAGTTTGTCTTAATAAAGTAAATATTTTTTTATAAAAATTATGCATCAACAAAGCTGCTTTCAGTGATAGCATTTGCATAAATTATAAAGTAAATTTACGTTATGTTTATAAAAATAACACTCTTCCAGATGCAGAAACGCATTGATAAATATGGTTATTATTATTTGTCCAAAAAAAAAACAGTTCTATACCGTTTACAAAAACGTTTTGTAGTATTAATAAAACCCTAATGGTATTATTCATAGAAATTTTTCAAATTTTACAAATCCCTTTTCGTTTAAAATAAAACTTTTTTTATAATATTAATAAAATTTATGTAGATTTAGCAACAAATTAATTGATAATTCAATAAACTATTTTCATTGTAACAATGATCACTTTTCAACCTACTGTTGAGTGTTGTGTAATTTTTTTTAAATAATTGCAAGGCATTAAAACAAATTATTTATTATAACAAAAAAATTAATTCATATTATATGATGTACAAAATAAAAAAAATATGAACTCACTTTTTAAACAACAAGTCTGCTTCGTTTATAGAATAGACCTTAAATGTTTCTTTTAGAAAACGTCGAAATTTTAATTTTCTTAGTGATCTTTTTATTATGCTAGATTTTACCACACTTCACTCGCACAAGTGAAATCAATATGATTATAACACAGACTGTGGATTATAAAGTTATGTTCACCAAGGAGAGCGCTGGCCCTTTCCCCCTCTTTTCAAGGGAAATAACAAAAATTTTGTTACCATTGCAAAACAATAGTAAATATTAAAAAAAATCATTTTATAGCAATAAAATATTTTTGTTATTGTTCTTAACGTAAGCTATTAACAAAGGTTTTCTAACTGAAATAAAATTAATTTGAATTACAACGATAGTAATTTAAAATAGACAAATATGCCATAGTAAAATGAAAAAATTTTACTATAAAAACTGCGCATTACTTTATATTAGCGCAATTCACACACAACTATAGATTTAACAAAAGCATTTTAAGTTCAACAAAGATTTAATATAAACATAAAGTATTTTTTATTGCCATGACTATATGATAACAACTATTTTTTTTATAAAAGTACTTTGTACACAAAATCAGTGCTTAAAAAATTAAATAAGGTTTATTAAAATTACTCAATTCCCTCATGTAAATTTATTTAATACCCTTGTCTTGTTAAGCAAAATTATTTGTTAAATGTCTGTTTTCAATTTTCCTGGTTAAAATTACAACATAAATATGTAAATTAAATTTAACGGTAGCCACCCTTAAAAACAATAAGCTTTCCCAGATTATAGAATGGACCTAAACAATTTAACCCTAGAGAATTCGACCCCATAATCAATAGGTCTGATTGAGTTCGTCAAGAAATTTCGCTGAAAATTCCCCTAAAGACTATTAAATTAATTTTAACGGAAAATAAATAATAGTAAGTTTTGGTAAAAAGTCCCAAAAAGACTTAAATAACATGGATTAATATTTTTTTCTACTAGCGTGCGCAAAGTAATACTTATCCGCACCCACATGCGTGCGCAAAGTTGCACTTTTCCGCACGCATTTGCATTTAAAATGTACGTAAGTAAGTTCATTTTAGACAAATTCAAATTTGGTTAGTTACAGTGAAACGTCATAATATACGAGGTGTGTTCAGAAAATAACGGGAATTGTTAAATTTCGCGGGTTCAGAGGGTCCGTTTGTCATAAAATTTTCTTTATTATATTGGTATATATGCCCCCAAAGTATGATAAAAACTTTAGCTGTTTTCATTGTTTACTTTGTCTGTGGCAGCCAATAAGGTTAGACGTGTTTT